AGAGATGAGGTCTCGCCTGCCCAGGTGGGTCTCGAACTCGTGGGCTCAGGCAATCCACTCACCTCAGCCTCCCAAAGGCGCGGGATTACAGGCTGAGCCAGTTTTTAAAAAAATTTTTATTTATAGCAAAACACGCATAACATAAAGCTATCATCTTTACCATTTTTCTTTTTTTCTTTTTTTTGAGTTGGAGTCTCACTCTGTCGCCCAGACTGGAGGGCAGTGGCCGCTCCCCGCCACCGCAGCCTTGACCTACTGGGCTCCGGCGATCCTTCCGCCTCAGCCTTCCGAGTAGCTGGAATTACAGGCATGCGCTACCACGCCCGGCTGATTTTTGATTTATTGTAGAGATGAGGTCTCGCTGCCCAGGCAGGTCTCGAACCCGTGGGCTCAGGCAGTCCACTCACCTCAGCCTCCCAAAAGCGTGGGATTACAGGCTGAGCCACCGAACCCGGCTCCATTTCTCAACATACAATTTAGTAGAATTAAAATATCCATCTAGGTACAAACCCCTGAACTCAGATGATCCTCTCACCTCCGCCTCCCAAAGTGCTGGGATTGCAGGCATGAACCACTGTACCTAGTTGGATATTTTAATTCTACTAAATTGTTTGTTGAAAAATGGTAAAGATGGTAGCTTTATGTTATGTGTGTTTTGCTGTAAATAAAAATTTTTTAAAAACGAATTCTAGGGCAGGCACAGTGGCCACCACAGCCTCGACCTGCTGGGCTCTGATGATCCTTCCACCTCAATCTTTCAAGTAGCTGGAACCATAGGTGTGCTCTACCATGCCTGGCTAATTTTTTGATTTATTGTAGAGACGCGATCTTGCCAAGTTACCTAGACTGGTCTGGAACCCCTGGGCTCAGGCAGTCCTCTCGACTTGGCCTCCCAAAGTGCTGGGATTATAGGCTTGAGCCACTGTGCCTGGCTAGAGACCCTGTCTCCCTCTCTTTGTTTTTTGAGCCGGATTCTCACGGTCGCCCAGGCTGGAGTGCAGTGGCATGCTCACGGCCACTGCAGTCTCGACCTGCTGGGCTCTGGCGATCCTTTCACCTCAGCCTTCCAACGAGCCGGAACTACAGGTCCACACTACTGCACCCGGCTAATTTTTGATTTATTGTAGAGACGAGGTCTCACCAAGTTACCCGGGCTGGTCTTGAACTCACAGGCTCAGGCAATCCAGTCACCTTGGCTTTCCAAAGTGCTGGGATTACAGGCTGAGCCACCGAGCCTGGTCGATATACCTGTCTCTTAACAAAAAGAGAAACAAAAAAAGAGTGCTAAGAGGACTTCTTGAGCTCAGACGCCCTGACCCTCCTCTCTCCTGTTCTCACAGTGACGTTGTGTGAGGGACCTAACAAGTTCAAGTGTCACAGTGGCGAATGCATCACCCTGGACAAAGTGTGCAACTCAGCTAGAGACTGCCGGGACTGGTCGGACGAGCCCCTCAAGGAGTGTGGTGAGCCTTGGGTTGCTGACAGCTCGCAGCGTTGGTCGGGAACCAGGACTGGGACTGAGACATGGGCGCTGTGGGATGGGGGTCGTCGGCCTGGCCACCTCACGAGAGCCAAGGGCTCTTGTGCACCATCATGCCCAGGGCAAGGCAGTTGGGGACTGGGGTAAGTGACTTCACTTCTGAGCCTGTTTTCACATCCGTCGGATGGGACAGTAGTTGCTCACACATCCTAGGGCTGTTGGGAATTGACCAGCGTGATGCTTAGAGAGTATGCAGAAGTGCTCCTCGATCTGTCATGGTGATGTGACGTTCATGGATATCGTCAGGAGACTTACTCCTAAAAAATGAGTTATAAAATACCTGAATTTGGCCAGACGCAGTGGCTCAATGCCTGTAATCCCAGCATTTTGGGAGGCCGAGGCAAGAGGATCGCCTGAGCCTAGGAGGTCGCCGTGATGGTGCCAATACATTCAGCCTGGGCGACAAAGTAAGACTCAAGTCAAAAAAAGAATGAAAAGACCATTTTACCCATTTTTAGGTGCACAGTTCAGTGGTATTAACTCAGTCCGGTGTTGTGCAACCATCACCACTGTCATCTGCAGAACTTCCACATCTTCCCAAAGTGAAACTCTGTCCCCACGAAACACTCACTCCCATCCCCCTCCCATCCCCAGGCTCACACATTCCACTTCCTGTCTGTGTGTTTCTGACTTCTCTAGGGACCTCCTGTGAGTGGAACCACACGGTATCTGTCCTTTTGGGATGGTTTCTTTTTTTTGAGTTGGAGTCTCACTCCGTTGCCCAGGCTGGAGTGCAGTGGCATGCTCAGGGCCACTCCAGTGTAGATCTGCTGGACTCAGGCGATCCTTCTGCCTCAGTCTTCCAATTAGCCGGAACTGCAGGTGCATGCTACCATGCCCAGCTAATTTTTTGATTTGTTGTAGAAACAAGGTCTTACCAAGTCTCCCAGGCTGGTCTCGAACCCGTGGGCTCAGGCCGTCCTCTCACCTCCGCCTCCCAAAGTGCTGGGATTACAGGCTTGAGCTACCACACCTGGCTGGGATGGGTTTACTTCCCATGAGCATGATGTCCTCAGGGTGCACCCATGGTTTGGCAGAGAACATGATTTTGGGTTTTTTTTTTTCTGAATTGGGTCTCACTCTGTGTTCCAGGCTGAAGTGCAGTAGTCTGTGGCATGTTCACAGCTTGCTGCAGCCTTGACCTTCTGGCCTCAGGCAATCCTTCTGGGCCTCAGCCTCCCAAGTAGCTGGGATTGCAGGTGAACACCATCATGCCTGACTTTTTATTTTTTTCATAGAGATGGGGTCTTGCTATGTTGCCCAGGCTGGTCTTGAACTCCTGGGCTCAAGCGATCCTCCTGCCTCGGCCTCCCAAAGTGCTGGCTTACAGGCGTGAGTCACCATTTCTGGCCAGGGCATAGTTGCTTAAGTTCTCTCACGGGTCCTGTTACCATGCTAGCCTCTCCTTCACTATGTTGAGAACAAAGATGGTGAGATAGAACAGGAAGGCAGGAAAGGCACGACTGGAGGCCTGAGCGTGATCCATGTGTGTCCCCCTTCCTGCCACAGGGACTAATGAGTGCTTGGACAATAACGGAGGATGCTCCCACATCTGCAATGACCTCAAGATTGGCCACGAGTGCCTGTGTCCTGGTGGCTTCCGCCTGGTGGGCCAGCGGCGATGCGAAGGTGACTCCCGGCAGGCGAGCCCTGGCCTCTCTGCCTTCCCAGTGGGGCAACTGAAACCCATGCCTCAGTTCCCCCATCTGTTCTGTGGGTGGGAAACACCATGTGGAGCAGTTCAGAGGGTTCTGTGAGATGCCAGGGGAACATATGTCATCTGTTTTGGGGGTTCTTGCCTTTGGGGTTAGTGATGATGACATCTTGGCCGGCACAACTTGGCTCTCTTGGCTGTGACCCTGAGGAGAAGTCGGGGTTTCTGCTGAGGATGACACCTGACTGTTTCCTGTGTCCCCCAAAGGCAATGGGCTGGCCCCTGCTGCCTGGGTCCCCTTACTCTGACTGCGGCCCTCCTCTCTCCCACTCTCCCAGATATTGATGAGTGTCAGGACCCCGATGCCTGCAGTCAGCTGTGTGTGAACCTGGAAGGTGGCTTCAAGTGCGAGTGTGAGGAGGGCTTCCAGATGGAGCCCCGCACCGGGGCCTGCAAGGCCGTGGGTGAGCACGGGAGGCAGGCGGTTTGCCTCACCCCTCGTGGGCGAGTGTGGCGGGGACTGTCATCAGCTGAACCTTGTGTGGACTCGGGTGCCCGGCCAGAAGGCTGTTGATCCTGAGACCCGGTGGGCAAATCCATAGCCCAGCTGGGACTCAGGCGTGCCAGGGGCCTGCCGGCCAGGATTTTATTCTTTTTCTGAAGAGATGAGGTCTCACTGGGTTGCCCAGGCTGGTCTTGAAATCCTGGCCTCAAGCAGTCGTCCTGCTTTGGCCTCCCAAAGTGCCGGGACTGCAGGCTAACTGGGGACTCCTAAGGAATAGGACCTGGTCCTATTCCTTAGGAGTCCCCAGTTAGCCTTGCCTTCAGCCCTGCAGGCAAAACAGCACATAGCCTTTCTTTCTGGGACAATCTGGGGAGTGACTTCAGGAGCAAAAGGTGGAAAGCCCCCTGAGCCCCCTCTAGCTGCAAATCAGACCAAGAAAACATATTCATTTAAAACAGACAAAGCCGTGCATGGTGGCTCAGCATTTGGGAGACTGAGGCAAGAGGATTGCCTGAGTCTAGGGGTTCAAGACCAGCCTAGGCAACTTGTCTCTACAACAAGTCACAAAAACTAGCTAGACGTGGTGGCGTGCATCTGTGGTTCCAGCTACTTGGAAGGCTGAGGCAGAAGGATTGCCCAAACCCAGCTGATCGGGACTGTGGTGGCCGTGAGCATGCCACTGCACTCCAGTCTGGGCGACAAGAGTAAGACTCCAACTCAAAAAAATAACAGAGACAGAATACCATAATAGCTCACCATGAAACCAAAAGAGTCAAAATAGTTGAATATGCTTTCTGTCCTGAAGGTTAGGTTGTCACTGTAACCATTCGCTAACACTTAAAGTCCCCTAGACGAAGGGATCTCGTGTCTCTGGAGGTGTGACTGCTCCGGTGGAACTGTCCAGACACCCAGGTGTCCTTGTCTTTGCTCTTGCCGCGTAACCACAATGTGGGCCAACTTTGCAGAGATGGAGCCCAGGTGTGGTGGTGGTGCCTGTAGTCCTAGCAGCTAAGGTACAAGGATGGCTCAAGCCCAGGAGTTGAGACTGCAGTGAGCTATGATTGCGTCACTGCACTCCACCACGGGCGACAGAGTGAGACCCTGTCTCTAAGACAAAAGTTGTGCAGAGATAATTTAGAGCTTCTTCCGTTTGCCCAGGGGCCTCCTCTGGCGTCTCTTTCTCATCTGATGCTGTCTCTGTTTGGCCCATGTGCATCCTGGCTCTACTGGGGTGAAATGTGGGGTGCCTCGATGTTACTTTCAATGGGTTCATGGGGTCCTCCGGGACTGTTCACTCTGAAATCCATTTCGTGGATGTTGGTATTTATTAAGGTGCCATTGCCCACCAAATGTGGTGGCTCAAGCCTGTGATCCCAGCATTTTGGAAGGCAGAGGCAAGACCATCCTGGGCAATTTCGCAAGACCTTGTCTCCACAAAAAAATAAAAAAATTAGTTGGGTGTGGTGGTGCATACCTGTAGTTCCAGCTACTCTGTGGGGTGGGGGGCGCTGGGTGGAAGGATCGCCAGATCCTAGGAACTTGAGGCTGGGGCGAGCTGTGATCATGGACTCCAGCCTGGGTGACAGCATGCCTGGCTAATTTTTTGATTTTTGTAGAGATGAGGTCTCACTATACTGCCCAGGCTGGTCTCAAACTCCTGGGCTTAAGCAGTGCTCCCTTCTTGACCTCCCAAAGTGCTGGAATTACAGGCCTGAACCACTGCGCCCGGCCCATAGGGAGGTGTTTCCTGTCGTCCGTCTGGTGTCACCTTGAGTTAAGCCACTTTCTGTAGAGTGGTCCGTGGGGTGAGAGGAACTCTGGGCCCCACCGTAGGTCCTCTCCGCTGCTCTGACCATCCTTCCTGTCCCCAGGTTCCATCGCCTACCTCTTCTTCACCAACCGGCATGAGGTTCGCAAGATGACACTGGACCGGAGTGAGTACACTAGCCTCATCGCCAACCTGAAGAACGTGGTGGCCCTGGACACGGAGGTGGCCAGCAACAGGATCTACTGGTCCGACCTGTCCCAGAGGAAGATCTACAGGTGAGCATAGGCCCTGCTTGTGGCCCGGCCCCGGTGGGGTAAGGGCTCTGGCCCTGATGCTCCCTCCTCTCACCCCAGCACCCAGATTGACAGAGCCCCTGGCATCTCGTATGACACCATCATCAGCGGAGACCTGCAGGCCCCCGACGGGCTGGCTGTAGACTGGGTGCACGGCAACCTCTACTGGACTGACTCTGTGCTGGGCACCGTCTCTGTGGCTGATACCAAGGGCGTGAAGAGGAAAACGCTGTTCAGGGAGGAAGGCTCCAAGCCAAGGGCTATTGTTGTGGACCCCGTGCATGGGTACGTGTCTGCAACGCAGAGGGGGCAGGAAGAGGCAGGGTGAGGGGAGGGGTTCATGAGCCGGTGGCAGTTAGGCACGAGCCACTCCTGAGATATTGATTTCTTTTTTTGAGTTGGAGTCTTCACTCCGTCACCCAGGCTGGAGTGCAGTGGCACGCTCACAGTCACCCCAGTGTCGACCTGCTGGGATCTGGTGATCCTTTTGCCTCAGTTACGTGCTACCATGCTCGGCTAATTGTTTTTTCTTTTTTTATTGTAGAAACGAGGTCTCACCAAGTTGCCCAGGCTGGTCTCGAACCCCTGAGCTCGGGCACTCTTCTTGCCTCGGCCTCCCAAAGTGCTGGGATTACAGGCTTGAGCCATTGCACCCGATCAGATACTAATTTCAGTGAGTGCCAGTGTCTAACAGGAATTGCAAATTACACAATGAGTTAGAAATGAAAGTACAAGGTCAGGCACAGCGCCTCACACCTGTAATCCCAGCTCTTTTGGGAGGTTGAGATAGAAGGATTGTTTGAGCCCAGGAGTTCAAGACCAGCCTGAGCAACATAGCAAGACCCTCTCCTCCACAAAAAATTAGCCAGTTGTGCTGGTGCGCACCTGTAGTCTCAACTATTTAGGAGTCTGAGGCAGGAGGATCACCTGAGCCCAGAAGGTCAAGGCTGCAGTAAGCCATGATTCAAAAAAGGAAAAAAAAGTCTGCAGGCAATCATGTCTGAAGCTCTCCTGAGCTGTGCAACTGTCCAAAAAGGAGCAGGAGCCTGGAATGTTGGCTTTCCTTGCCTGTCGTTAGAGATCATGGACGTGGATCCTTTTAGACTGTCTGTTGTGCTCCCCAAGATGGAGGTAGACCTCTAGATAAAAATTCAAAACCAGGAACTTAAATGCTTATTTTAAAAAAAAATGGAGCCGGGCACGGTGGCTCAAGCCTATAATTGCAGCACTTTGGGAGGCTGAGGCCAGAGGATTGCCTGAGTCCAGGGGTTCGAGACCGGCCTGGGCAACTTAGTGAGACCTCATCTCTACAATAAACAAATAAATAAAAAAATTAGCCCGGCATGGTAGCGCATGCCTGTGGTTCTAGCTACTTGGAAGGCTGAGGCAGAAGGATCGCCTGAGCCCAGCAGGTTGAGGCTGTGATGGCTGTGAGCATGCCACTGCACTCCAGCCTGGGCAACAGAGTGAGACTCTGACTCAAAGTGCTCGAGTGCAGTGGTGCAATCATAGCTCACTGCAGCCTCGAACTCCTGGGGTCAAGTGATCGCAACCATGCCTAGATTAAAATACGAATTTCAATGAATATCAGCATTTAATATGAATTTTAAACTACACATTGAGTTACAAATAACAATATAAGGTCACGCATGGTGGCTCACATCTGTAATCCCAGAGCCTTGGGAGGCTGGGGTGGGAGGGGCACTTGAGCCCAGGAGTTTGAGATCAGCCTTAGCAACATAGTGAGACTCCCGTCTCTACAAAATAAATAAATAAGAACAAAACATTAAGAGGAAATGAGACTACAAATTTAATTAGTATTGTGTGGCAGGGTTCCCCAAGCCACAGTTAGGATCGGAGAGAATATAAACGCCATATAAGTCCTGATTTAAGTCAGTTTTGGGGCCTTCTGCATGGATGACTCTGGACAGGATGGGAGTGGGGAAGGTGTCACCCCAGTGGGGTCCTGGGACTGTGTCTCCCAAGGCTACGACTGACTCGGTAGATCCCGGGTCAGGACACCGTGGTCCACAACCCCTGGTAGGAAGCGTCACCTCAGCCCCCTGCCCTGCACACTCTGTACCCGTCAGGTGACATCTGTCACCTGAGTGGTGGCATTGCACAATTTCAGAGGGGTGCTGACAGCCCATCCTGGTAGCCACAACTCGAGGAAGGAGAAGGTTGTGTCAGGGAGCAAGCATTGCAGATGGTGCACTTGGGGTCTTGAAGAAAGCCTTGGTCAGAGGGAACAGAAGTTGTGGGTGACGCTGGATCCTGGTTGAACAAGACAAATGCTTGTTAAGTAAATAAAAGAAAACAACAGCAACAAAGCCCAGGGCCGGGCAGGCCTAAGGCAACATAGCAAAACCTTCATCACTACAAAAAAACTGAAAAATTAACCAGGCATGGTGGTGCTTGCCTGTAATCCCGAGCGGCTGAGGTGGGAGAATTTCTTGAGTTTGAGACTGACCTGGGCAACATGACGAGGCCCTGTCTCTCTAAAATAAAATCCCTCTAGTTCTTCCCAGGCCCTGATAGGAAAGCAAAAAAAAAAAAAAAAAAAAAAG